TGACGAATACAGAAAAAAAGATGATCGATGACTCGCGATGTTGTTGGTAGCGATGTTTCAGCTGCTGGTGCTGCTAGCTTTCATCAGGCAGCTGAAGTCTGGATGTTGCAGAGTCCGCTATATACCGCTGGAGTGCGTCCTCCGTGTGCCCCCCGCTGTGTACTGCGGACATAGTATGGGTTGACCTCAGTGGGCGTCGCACGCTCCATTCCATGGACATGAAGGGGCGTGTCCTCGGCGTGGCTCCATTGTGCTCCGGTGATTGTGTTGACGGATAGTGGGGAGCCAGAACCCGGGGATGTCGATGCCGCTGTCTCTGTTGGTGCTGTGTTGGTTGAAGCTGATGTGGATGGCTTCCTTGATGCGTCTGGTGTACTTTGGGAAAGGCCTCAACTTCACCGCCACCCCTGACCGCGTACCGGCGACGGAGATCATGGCCAGTGTGGAGACAGCATTGAAGAAGCTTGACCTGGAAACAGCTGATCTGGTCCACAGAGAAGTTGACGCCACCTTACGGAGAGCACACCTGCCCAGGAGTAACATCAACCGGGAGCAACGCATTGCCCTGAAGGCTCTACGGGAGAGATCGTTCCATCGTGATCCTCCCTGCCGACAATGGCCGTGTCAGCGTGATCCTCGACGCCGACACATACCGGGACAAGATGAGCGAGCTCATCTCCACGGGCCCTTACCGGAAGTTGACGAAGGACCCCACCGACTGGCTCTGCAGGAAGATCACAGCCCAGCTGCTTGCCCTCAACAAGCCCGGAGGTCTTGACGACACCACCTACTGGAAGTTACGCCCCACCAGTAAGCAGCCCCCAGGATGTATGGTCTACCCAAGATCCACAAGCCGGGGACGCCCTTGAGACCCTTCGTTTCGTGCATGAGCTCCTTTACCTTCAACCTCTCCAAGTATCTAACTGGGATCCTGTCACCACAGACCGGCAACACACCAAACACCATGCCCAACACCACAGCCTTCGCAGAGTTCCTCCGCGGGCAGCACATCGACAGCCACGAGGCATTGATCTCTTTCGGCATTGAGTCGTTGTTTAACCAACTCCCCATAGGCGACGCTTGCTGTGTGGCCCTTCGTCGCCTGGAGGAAGACCCTGAGTTACCTGACCAAACATCACTCTCCCCCACCAAGATCATCTTCCTACTAGAGTTTGTCCTGTGCTCCATGTATTTCCTGTATGGTGGAACGTACTACGAGCAGACAGACGGGGCAGCCATGGGTAGTCTGGTGTCAGCGGTTATTGCCAATCTCTACATGGAAGCGTTCGAGGAGGAAGCCCTGCAGAGTTGCCCACCCGACTGCCGTCCTACCGTAAGGAAGCGGTACATTGATGACACTTTCGTCATTGCACCATGGGATCAAGCCAGCCATGTACTCAACCACCTGAACAGCCTCAAGCCCGGCATTCAGTTCACCATCGAGGTCGAGCAGGACAGCAGCATGGCCTTCCTGGACACCATGGTCCACAGGGAACCTGACGGCAGCCTGACTAGCACCGTGTACCGCAAGCCCACTCACACCAACCAGTATCTGGCTTTTGACTCACACCACCCAGAGTCCGTCAAAAGGCGTGTGGCCATGTGCCCCCACAACTGCGCCTCGCCTAGTCACCTGACCACGCTGCACAGCCGCCGAGAGACACTGAGTCACCTCTGCCCTCATGGCAAACGGGTATCCAACATCTTTCATCCAGCAGTCATCAAGATCCAAGACCAGCAACGAAGCGGAGCGACCGGAGTACAAGGCCTTCACAGTTCTTCCCTTCGTGGACGGTATCTCCAGATGGCTGAAGAGAATCCTGGAGGACCACGGTGTCCGCACCGTGTTCCGATTGTCCACCACCTTGAGGAGCCAACTCGTGCGCCCTAAGGATCCTGTCCCACCCGGAAGACACGGAGGAGTAGTCTACAGGATACCGTGCGGTGACTGTGACAAGGTGTACGTCGGCGAAACTGGCAGACCCGTCGGCAAAAGAATCAAGGAGCACCAGTGCGACATGAGACTCTCCTGTGTGGATTCGTCAGCGGTAGCAAAACACACCTGGGGAGTTGGTCACCACCATAACTGGGACGGCGTGCAGTGTGTGGACCACGACCAGCATTGGTACACCAGACACATCAAGGAGGCCATCCACATCCGCCTCAACCAACACAGCATCAACAGAGACAGCGGCATCAACATCCCCTGGTTCTGGCTCCCCTCCATCCGTCAAAACAATCACCGGAGCACAACGGAGCCACGAGGACACACCCCTTCATGCCCATGGAGTGGTGCATGCAACGCCCGCTGAGGTCACCAATACTACGTCCGCAGTACACGGCGGGGGGCATGCGGAGGATGCGGTCCAGCGGTATATAGCGGACTCTGCAGCATCCAGACTTCAGTTGCCTGATGAAGGCTAGCAGCACCAGCAGCCAAAACGTCGCTACCAGCAACACGACATCGCGAGTCATTGATCATCTTTTTCTCTGTATTCAAAAAAAGTTATCAAACTTTCTCAAAACAAAAAATGTACAATTAGAGTTGACTAGGTAAGGAGACCTATGGAAACAAAATAACCCATATGAATACATGAATGCCCAAAAACCAGGTGTCAGAAAAAATTAACATAAATACAAGTAGTAGTCAACTGATGTATTTATAAGGTATTTACTTGTTAGCTGGCACAATGTCTTAAATTGACAGGTATGGAGTTTGCATGTGACAACAGGTGGAATTGACATGGGTATAAAGGCAAATTGAACCTGCTCGTCCCATCTGATTGATGGAAGGTGCTGTACTCTGAGGTCCTTTCTGGCTTCCCTGATTTTCTGGAGTTACATCATCGCTCATGTAGATGTTATTGCCCTTGAACTTGTTGTTGCGGAGACATCTGGATGCGTTTTTGATGATATGCTGGTATACCTGAGAAGCCTGCAAAGGATCGGCCTTGGGCTTGCATGGGAAGCCGTCCCATTCGATGGTTGTGCCTGCCCGAGAGATAGGTGGCCATGGGCCTGCTCTATCTCGATAGTGTCACCACCGTCAAGCCTCATGTGGTTTGTCAGCAGGTCAAAGATGAACTCCTCGCAGAGCTTGTTCCCTTCTGATCCCTCAGGACTTCTATGTATGACAATGTTATTTCTTCTACTGCGATTTTAGAGATCGTGAATTTGATTTTCCAGCCTGCTTGTGACTCTGGACTGCGTCGTCCTTTTTGTTGATAAGTACTGCTGATTTCGTTCCATCATACTTACTGCCAGCTTCAGATCATCTATTTCCTTGCCTTGAATTATGACCTAAGTTTTTTTGTATCATCCAGCTTGACTTCAAGGTTGGTAAGTGTTTTTTCTATGGTCTCCAGTGACTGTAAAATCTTGTCCAGTGTCTTATGTATGTCCATGATAGCGTCCTTGCATGACGAGCACTTGCAGCCATCTTGTTGTTCTGTGTCGTTGCCACTGGTAGATGTAGTGGGCAGATCTTTCCGTTTGGCACTTTGTTTTTTATTGTGCTTTTCAACAATTTAGTCACATCATTTGATTCGGCCATGATCAGGATACAGTGATTAACGAAATCGCACAGCAATTAAGTGAAAGAGACCCGATCTGTGTCTAAATATTCGTTAAAATTTTGAGAGCTGTTCGCAGTGTGATGTGTTCAGTTCGGTGCCATCTTCTTTGGCAATCAACAGCAGCCAAACAAACTGGTCATGTTGAGACAATGGGAGCTGGTCTCATTGAACAATGCCACTGGTGGATCTTGTGGTGGATGGCAACCACAGACTCCCAGGCTGTTTGGCCTTGGGGAGAGTTGACCTTTAGGGTCTTGTTGCACTGGGCAAGCAAATTACTTTGACAAATGAAGCAGACTGATGTGTCTGGCAAGGTTTCCAGCCAAACAACCCTGAACAGTTAGGGTTATATATTGTGCTTGTTTTAACCACTTGCTGCCAGGAGACAGTTAGTTTCAAGTTGGATGACGTATACCCGGGGGATTTTCAAGTTTTTCTGTTTACTAAATGCTTAAAAAAACTCATAACCTCATTTACTGGACGTTTACACCCACAGAAATGACTGTCTGGTGGTTACTCTAATCTGACAGACGGCATCTTTTGACGTACAAGTATTTCAGCCAGGCCTGCAGCCTTGTAAAAAGAGAAAAAAAATTTTGTGTAAGTTTCTTTTGTTCCCGAAACTGGCACAGTTCACTTCTGGCATCTTTTCAGTAGGGGCATTAGCGTGCAGCAGTACTGTGTGGCTCATCGCTGGAGTGCTGGAGTGCTTTGTCCCCAGTGGTAATCCGATGGTTTGTGAATGCCACAAACAGCGGTATAATCTTTCAAAACAATGACAGATTTCCTCTGATATTGGCAACTAAAAAAAAATGTTGGCAATTCCCAGCAGTTCAGTCTTTAGTGCCGAGTATGGTCTTTTGTTACAAGGCCCAGGTCCGGGTTTCGGGCTCTCTGGTTTTGTGTATTCAGCCTATGTGCCCAAAACAGCACATGGTTAATTATGAAAATGGCTTTGGAATCATTCATATTAATTGACAGAAATGAGGCCTTTTTGCTTCTCTAGTCCAGTTAAATTGTTCTTTATTGTTAGGGCACTTGTTGGCAAGTGGATAGAAGCAGAGATGGTAGTGAGTGGAAGAAACATGTGCTGTCCACCCAGGAGGAGTCTGTCTTCTGCAGTGACTGTAAGTTGTGTTTTCAAGTATTGAAGATGATGTTGAGGCCATACATTGATGTCACAGACACATGCACAAAGTAACATCAAGGCAATGTTGAAGGTATCAAATATAGACACTCAAGCCAATAGAGATCATAAGATATTACTTGAACCAACTCCCTTTCAGGTTTGACAACAATCACCAATGTGCAGGTAATTGTGTGTGTTCATTTGACCTTAAAAGAACTAGGGCGTAGATAGAATCTGCCCCCTCAAGATTTTTTCTGATATAATCACAGTTCAAGAGTTGAGCCTTCAGAAGTTTTCAGCAACTCTTGTGGTCTTTTTGAAACCAATTCTGTGAAAATCACACATGCGTGTGTCTTTCTCGTTACAAGCACCCCTTTTTCCTGCAAGAAAAAGCAAAAAAAAAGCATGTCTGGTCCGAGCCAAATTGGCTCATCAGGCCGATGTTTATCTCTGGTTTCCTTGGCATGAAATGACTGAGAATATTTCTTTTCCCCCTGGATGGGATGCCAGTCCATCACAGGTTGCTTCCCCAGCTAATGCTGGTACCCATCTATACTCCTGGGTATAGAGAGGCAAGCAGGGGTGAAGAGGATTGCCAAGGGCCACAATATACTGTCACCTGCTGGATTTGAACTTCCAACCCTATGATTGGAAGCCACAAACCCTAATCACTTGACCACATGAAAGAGGTCAGCCATACTTTTCCTTGTTTTTACAAGCCAAGCCTTTGTTTTCATATAGCAGCTTTTTACAGTCACTTTGACAGCAGTTTTGTGAAAATCACACATCCTGTTGTAGCACCCACTTTCCCGACAGCTCAACCAAAAAAAGGTACCTGCACTTTCAACTGCTGTGCCGAGTGCACACAGTGGCTGGTACGCTTGTAACCTTCAACATCAAATGACTGTATCAACCATAAGTTGTATGTCAGATTGTTTTGAAACTCCACATCGGTATTAATGAGGAGTGTTTTACATGCATACCGAGTGTTGGAAAAAACGGGCTTCAGATGGCCAAGATCTCGGCTGTGAGATGGTACAAATACAGTGTTGTAGTTGAGACCACTCAAGACCACACGAGACCAGCACAAGACCAACATATTTAAAGACCTCCAGTCTGAATTTTAAGTCATAAGCTATTCAAGTGAACTGCAACAAAAGCATTCCTTTGTCATTGTTCTCACTGGTCACATGATGGTCTCGACTAAAACACTGACAAAATAACCCAACAACTTCAGGGTTAACACTGGAATGAAATTGACAGAACTTGATGACATTGATTGGTTTCTCCTAGTAATCCTGGCTGGAGGAATTTCCATTGTGCTTGCAGCATCAGAGGCTCTGCTATAAAATGCTGATCCACCAGAGAGGGCGCTATTACCATCCCATGAAGCCTACTACATCACACAATGGTAATGGAAAGATTAAAGGGAAAAAAGAACNTAGAAAGAGGAAAAAAAGAACTGATATAACGCTGCCTTAATAGCACAGTGGTAATGGAAAGACAAAAAAAGAACTGAACACTGCCTTAATGGCACTGTCGTGGACTCAATATGCTTCCAGGTTTTAACACGTTGTTGTAATAAAGAGGCGAAGGACTAGCGTTGGAGTGACCTTTGTTGCTTCCTTTATCTCTTTGCTGAACGTTGTGAAGTAATACAGTATGTAGCAGTATTCAACAACTGTGTTGGTTAACCTGTTCATAAACAATGAGAAATATGCACTCATTAATACAATGCACAAGTGAAGTAAGAGTTTCAAGCTGTCAATTATAAACCACCTCAGGATCTGCACTTATCTGTGTCACTTCACCAGTAAATGTAAGTTGAGACAAAGCTTTAAAAAATATTAAACAAAATACATGTGTAAGCAAAAATACAAGTATCGGTTTTCAGCCACTCCTAAGTATTAAATCTATTAATTTAAACCAAAGAAAGATGCATAAAGCCTGAATAAAAAGGAATCAACTAGAGAGAGTAAACATTAACTACGATTCTCAAAACTTGGAGAAACTACGTCTTCCAGTCTAAAAATGGTGCGCAACCGCCAAAGCACACTTTTCGGGGAAACGCCTGCAAAGAGACTACGCTAAGGCAAATCACCCGCAAAAATATGGTCTGTCTCAACTTAACCCTCCGTGCCAAACTAAACAAAAATAGTTCCTGCAAGGAACCAACTACATGTAACCATTATCACTCTCCCTTACGGGATGATAACAAACTGCATGAATCTACAACTTCTAATCAAAGGCCAGTAACATAGAAATTACTTCAGAAAACTCTAAAGGGGGCACTCAAATCTTCAAAATGTTCCAAGATAGTGTGTACAAACAGTGGCGAAGCTCAGCGTAAAGGGGCAGAAGAAAGTCACGAAAACCTCCCCCTAAGGCCAAAATAACAAATACCTAAGGGCAAGGAATAATAAAGGGTGAAATAACATACCTTCTCAAACTGGTTGTAACATTTAAGAGAAATAAATGGTTCTGGAAGTCACAAAGAGCGACACATTAAGAGACGAAACTCGGTAGCAAACTGCTGTGAAATCGTGAACTAGATACATGAACAAACTCATGTGTGGAGCTAGTCTCCAATCCAGCCGCAAGGGGCTAACAAGAAGTGCCGGACGTCTAACTCATGACATTCCAGGCCCCTAGAAAAGTGACCGGATGTCACAAGCAAACCAAACAGTAACATGCAAATACGATATGAACAAGACTATATGTGTACCGAAGAGTCTGAACCGTTACAAGATAACTGTCCATCCCTTTCATTACTGGTCCAAACGGAAACAATATTCCAAAGTTTGATCAGTTAACAATCCATGAGGTGTCAGATGTCGGTGTGTTCATCTTGCTTCATCAGATGCACAAGTTTTGTCACGGGCCTGGTAGCGCAAGTACTGCCTGCGAACTTGACTTTGACCACGCTGACGAGGCCATCACCTCTAGGATGGAGAGTACTCAGGCGTGACCATCTGCAGTTTCGACCAGCTGGAAAATTAGAGGCATCCAGTATCGCAGTGCTCTGGGATCCACCACTTGACATCACTGACAGGGTCTTGGTTTTTCTCGAGTGGAATTTCTTCCGTTCTGGGTCCCCAGGCTGCACCGGGACATTCTCAGGGGTTCTGGGCCAGCATTGAGGAGAAAGTTTCAGGTACTTTGGCCCCTTGATGACCTCCTTAATGTCCGCAGCAGTACCACCCCTGGACACTACATCGGTGAAGTTCTGGTCAGTTGGCACGAAAGAGACATCAGTTAAAGGATCAAAGTCAGCTGTGATTTCTCCTACCCGGCAAGTGACATAGGAGCGAAATGACTGCCCACGGAGCCAACTGATGACTGTCAAACTATCAGTCCAAATCCTGGAGTAGGCGATGTTGAGCCGCAAAGCTTTCTTGAGGGTGACCATTAGTCTGGCAAGCAACAGGATTGCCTGGAGCTCTTTCCGTGGCATGCTCATCTGTCTCAGTAATGTGAGTCTAGACCTCGCTGCGACGAAAGACAGTTGTCCCTCAGCTTCCTCGGACTCTGACCATCGCAGCCACACACCAATGCCCATGGCGTCCTCTGATGCGTCACTTGCTCCATGAAGGGAAACACCTGGCAGGGGTCTTTTTCCCTTGAACCTGTCTGGGATTAGGCAACGTGGGATCTCAACGCTAACTGCCTCCTCCAGATCTTTGGTGATACTCTTCAGCATGCTGCATAGTTGTGGCCTATTATTCATTGGAGGATCCCAGTCTATGTTCATCTGCCAGAGCTTTTGCAGCATGATCCTTGGATGTATGACAACTCTGGCAAGCATCCCAAAGACATCATAGAATGATGCTGTGTATGCTAAGATCTTGCGCTCTGTAGGACTGGATCAGCGAATGGTGTCACTGCTTTCACACGCAATGTGTCGGATGAGAGATCCCATGTTGTTCCCAACACACTTGCTGTCTCACTGCTCTCCTTGACATCACATACCTCTTTGAGGTTTGATTGCCACTTTCGGATGTTAAACTTTCCTTTCTCCAAAGTTTTGATTAGTATTGACTTCAGATCAAGTGCCTCATTGACGTCCACGACCAATTCACTCAGGTCTTCCATATGAAAGTGTTCGACGACCACTCGCTGTAGCTGATCATCATCAGGGGCGAGCTCACGAGCTACATGCCTCATCGTGACTATTGCTGCAGTCGGTGAGGGCTTGTCTCTGAAGGTTACTTTGGTGACCTTATAGACCTGCATTGGGTGGTTGGGGCTCTCTCTGAATACGAACTGGTGAAAGCATGCCTCTTTTTGAGGAATCTTGATCACCTGGAACATTTTTGATATATCCGCAATCACTCCGACTTCATTCTCCCAGAACTGCAGGGCCACTTCAAGGAGGCCGGCATTAACATTCTCCCCCTTGATCAGGCAGTCATTCAGGGAGTGTCCTTGATACTTTGCCTTTCCATCGTACATGACTGTGACAGGCATTGTCTCTGAATCTTTCAGGACCGCGAAATGAGGGAGGAACCAAATATTTCGACCTGCTTCTCTATCTTGTTAATTAGTTCCTCCTGTGTCACATGTCTTGAGACACCTCTAGCCACTTGGTCCCTCATCTGCCGGCAGTAGATCTCCCATTCTTCAGGCCAATGCCGGAATTGGGTTTCAAAGCTCTGCTGCCGTTTGACTGCATAGTCGTAGTTACCAGGGAGTCCATCTGGGGATCGCTTCCACGGCAGGTGGACTTCATAGGAGCCATCAGGAAGTTGTGTCACACTCTTGTGCATGGTCTCAGTGGCGGTTTTCTCTTCATCAGAAAGACACTTGCACCTTCCAGGTTCCAGCCCAGCTGTCTCAAGTCCAAGGAACTCTTTCAAGGAGCCGGATGCTGCTACGTTGATGTAGTTGACAAGTGGTGCAGTGTTGGCTGCCAAATCACCCTGAATAAACCAAGCGGGCATCGTACTGCAACTGGGTCATCTGATCTGCCGCCTCTGATGAACTCTTCCCATACCATGAGGTGTGAGTTGTCGACACGTAGCAGCAGGTCAATGACCAGAGATGGAGCTGCATCGATCTCAACATTTGTCAAGTGTTCATACGTCTGTAGATGTTCTTGAAGTAAGATGGGTGCATCCCCACAAGGCCTTTCGATCTCAGTAACAGTTATTGGGTAGGTAAAGCTACCGCTCACATCCCCAATTTCACAGTTTAGGATCTTCAGCTTTCGTTGGATCTGATCACCACCAGCCAGGCTGAGGTCGTGGTCTTGGAAGATGTCATCCTCCTTCCTAGGAAGATTCCTGTCCTCAAGAGTGTCACTTGGCTTCCCCCATCTAGGAGGATGCGTACAAGCTGTCATTTATTGCCACATTGGAGGTTACCCATAACTGTGGGCAGGGTAGCTTGTAGCTTTCCAACTGGGATTGCCAGTGAGAACTTCGTCATGCTGTTGGACTGGGCTGATCTCTCATTGCCAGCCCGGTTTATGGGATTGCTCATAGTGCCCTGGTCATTATTTCCATAGACTTTGGGGCAGATGGAGGCAAAATGTTCATCACTCCTACATGTCTGAATGAACTGGCACTGTCGGTGGTCATGAGGAGGCTTGCCCACTACACAGTTGTTGATGTGTCCACATCAGGTGCAGACATAATTTTCCTTCACGACGTCATACTTTTCTTTCAATTGTAGACCCTGAAACTTGTT